TCATATTTTTTAACGCGCTCACTAGTGAGAACGTTTGATGTGAACTCACACTCAGCCCTCAGAAGAAGAATGAACTTACCTTGGAAAGCAGCCTCGAACTGCCCCGGCTCCTGCGTGGGCGCGAGCGCGGCGGCGCACGCCAGCGCGGCGAGGAGCGCTGCGAGCGGCGCGACCCGCGGCATTGCGGCACTACGCCATGCCATCGAACATACTCTAGCCGCACGCCGCCTCTGAAACAAAAAATATTAAATTAGTATGTAATATAGAGACTAATCCCACCACTGGAACTCTTGTCCAGCTGGGCCTGTAATGCAACATAACCAGTGAAGTTTGAGTGTGTGGACAATAGTTAGAATATAGGCAATATTTAGGTGGAAATCTCATCAAATCGAATAATAATCCGAATGTCTAAATGCAGGCCGCTACCAACCGTACGATGTGGAAGTCATTGGGGGAGGCCTATGTTCAGCAGTGGACGTCCTGTGGCTGAAATGATGATGATGATGATGATGAATGTCTAAATCACTTATAACACCTTCGCTGCCAGCCTAAAAATGGCACTGTTCCGTTCGGGCCATGGGGGACAATGATGGGCGACACTTTAACTTTCCGTTCGGGCCGCGTCGGACAATGATGACCGCGAGTCAGACCTATGTTTAAACCTCTGTATTGAGCCGATGGACAGCATTTCTTCAATAATTCTTATATAAGCTGACCCGCGCGGCTCCCAAGATTAGTGTACGTCACTTGGTTCTCAGGTAAAGCTCGGACTTAGAAAAAAAAATGTGGATAACGGTAGCGGAATGAAACATGGTAATTATACAATGCATTTTTGCAAATTTTTTACGGTATCATCGATTTATTTATTATTATTTTTAATCACTATTTAAGACTTATCCTGCTAGTTTCGTTTCTCATTTTATACCTTATAATATTCCTATTTATGCGTAATATAATATATCAAAAACCTACCAATGTACAACTCTTTATTTTTTTGGTTGTTCTCCTTTTTTTTTTTTGGATGCGAGCGGGGATGGTCGACAACATGACCGCGTGGCCCTACGGAACGGATTTTCGAATTTTCGCTCGTTGGGGCCATGGGGGTCAATGATGTCCGACGCTTAATAATTCGATGTAGAAACTCAAAAACAACTATATGTTAATAAAATCCTTTATTTATGTTTATAATGTAACGATTTAACAAAAAAAAACAATCGACGAAAATTTAAAAAAATTGAAATTTTTACTTGGCCTGGTAGGAAAGTGCAGTGTCGGACAACATTGACCGCGTTGGCGTTCAATGTGATAATAATGATCATCATCATCAACAGTCGTTTACAGTCCACAGCTGGACTATGAGGCTTCTCTACTTTAGTGGAGGGTTTTGCCATAATCCCGGTGAGGTTAGAGATCGCAGTTAAAAAGATAATAATGATAATGCATAATTATTTATATTAATGTAGGTTACGTTGGCCTGCTTCCCAGGTTAAAATAAAACATTTTTCTATACTTTAATGGCATTAATTGGTACATAAGGCGAACTTAATGCCATAAAGCAACCTTTGCCAGTTTACCTTCGGAGGAGGACTACTTAGACAGAAAAAAGGTTAAAAAATCAGGTTATTACTAATAAGTACCAGCCATTCTGATTAAACATTATAATATAAATTATATTCTACATTTTGTATATTTCATATCGCATAGCACATTAATACCCATGTTAACTAAAGAGACGATTCAAGAGCCTTCTATTTGCTTAGCCTTTAATATATCACCCACAATCGTCCTGTCGAGTTTATCCACACAGTTTATCTTGCTTGCAACATCAAACACTTATATCCAACGAATGCTTTGAATTAATAAACGTTAGAGAGACTCGCGATACTCTGCGTTATTTAAATATTCATGTACAAAATAATATGCCTGAGAACTGAGTGGTTTACCATAATGATTTATTTATTTTACTTTCTTTTATTTAGACTTACCTTGATAAAAAAAGCACTAAGTACACATTTCAAAACATTTCAGGTCTTATGTAGACCTACCCCAAAAAGCTTAAAAGCGCGTTGAACCTACCCACTCTAAAATGACATTCCCATGCTAATTAAGTTAACTAGTGTTCAACGGGCGTTTAGCTTTTTGTGGTATGGGGGTTTGTGGTTCATTATTTCATCATCATCAATATTCAGGCAGTTCATTTTACTTATATCAATGAATAGGCAACTTAATATTATGTACATACTTATACCTAAAAGTACATAACTACCCACAAAACACTACAAAACCCTAAAAATCAGAAGAAACATTGCGTAAAAACGCTACGCAGGCCCATTATTTTAATAACAAGACCCATAAAAGACGAGCCTACCAAGCAATAGATTTCAAAAGGAATTCGTTTACAAAACTATGTTTTATGTTGCTAAAAAGTTTTATTCCTTTAACCTTTTCCGGACCCGGCCCTATGAAGCAGAAGTGGCGGCCATAACACGCAGGACTTGCCCGACCCGGGTTAAATCGTCTGGATCGACGACATTACTTTTTATTTTGCGCACCGATTGCTTTACTGCTACGTGACTTCATGTCGGTGTGTCACCAACCACACCGGGACCCTAAAACTAGTGAGCGATATTTTGCTCAAGGGGCAACATTCAATTCATGTGACGACTGAAGATTTGTATTCAATGTGTTTTATGTCCTTTTATAATAATATTATAGATAGGTACTTGGTACGATGATAAATAAGCTGAGATGTTAAAGTTTGAGAATCGCTGTTTCTTTTGACAGATACTAAGGTAATTTTAAATTATACGCTGTATGCAGCTGTATGAGTGAAATGGAACGCACCTGAAATAAGTCCGACTAAATTACGGAGTCTAGCATTACATGCAAAAACTTCACTACCAATGGTTTTTGAATTCAGCCGGATAATTGAATGTTTTGTTTGACAGCAGTCAACACAGATATGGATTAGAGTAGATACAGCAAGTTGCTAGTCAAAGCGTGCCATTCCGATATGTCCAAATGGACATACATGGTCGAGTGATGTTCATGTAATCCGATTACAACAATCGGATACGATGATTTTACGAGGACAGTAGTACGAACACGGTAGAGAGAAGAAATTATTTACGGATTGAGAATTGTAATTAACAGCAACGAGTAACAAATATGTAATTAATTATAATAAAGTAGCAGTAGAAGAATTATAAAACAAGTTAGATCAGTGATCGCGGAAGACAGAGTGCACTGTATAACGTCGAAATATACAAATCAAGAAGTTAGGTCAGTGATCGCAGTATACACTATTACTAGTCTATGTATACGACGCCCGAGATTTTGTCGTTTAGAAATATCTTCAAAACTAGGTACCTGACTTAGCTTTATGAAAGAAAACGTATTGGCAAAACTACGCATTTTTACATTTATTAAAAATAAAAAGCTTTTGTAAAATAGTCTTTATTTTATGAAACTAGGTCATTTACTTACTAGGATATAAAAGTATGGAATTAAGTATGAATTACTAGTAGTACTATTTAACATAATGGAATAACGATCATTACTTTCATAAACATTAGGCACAACAAAAATATTATTTGCAAATTAATAATGTAGAATGATAGATGCAGCATGTGTCAAAAATTGTATGAAGCCGAGCGTGCCACTTTTTAAACGTCATTAGTGTCATTTTAGCGAATTTTAGTGATTGCCGCAACGTAAAAGTAATCGTATCATCGTACTGCATTCGCAAAGTCATCGAATGATATCGTGTGACTCGATTCGAAAATTAATTAATTCCGATAAAACTGATATTTTGTTAAATTTATAGCTAGTCTGACTGTGGATTAAAATAATTTTGTAGCGGTAGACGTTATTCTACATTATTAATTTGCAGATAATATTTTTGTTGTGCCTAATGTTTATGAAAGTAATGATCGTTATTCCATTATGTTAAATAGTACTACTAGTAATTCATAAAATAAAGATTATTTACTCAAGCTTTTTATTTTTAATAAATGTAAAAATGCGTAGTTTTGCCAATACGTTTTGTTTCATAAAGCTAAGTCAGGTACCTAGTTTTGAAGATATTTCTAAACGACAAAATTCAATGTGGTAAAAAACGTACTGCATTCGCAAAGTCATCGAAAGATATCGTGTGACTCGATTCGACAATTAATTAATTCCGATAAAACTGATAGTTTGTTAAAATTAAATACAAAACCAAAAACATCTTTATTTACCTTTTTAAAATAAATTAATTCTTACATATAGTCAAATCTCGTTATTTTTTTTACCCTACCAGCGTTTCAAGACATAATTGACAAGTGCATGAATACATGGATCAGTGTGTGTCTTATTGTTATGAGTAAGTACGGTTCCTTGGGATCGGTATGAGTGCACCACATACAGGGACCATGGTTTTAACTCTTAAGAGTACATCGCAGGATATGTATTAAAAACAATGCCACTTTATACTTCTTCTACTTTATTCTAATTAATTATTTGTTACTTGTGCTGTTAAATACAATTCTCAATCCGTAAATAATTTCTTCTTTCTACCGTGTTCGTACTACTGTCCTCGTAAAATCATCGTAACCGATTGTTGTAATCGGACTACATGAACATCACTCGACCATGTATGTCCATTTGGACATATCGGAATGGCACGCTTTGACGATCAACTTGCTGTATCTACTCTAATCCATATCTGTGCTCATGAAGCTACAGATCTGAGCCCCGATTACGGTATTTTTTACCGTCAACAATCCAGACACGCTTCTCGATTCTGCGATACGATTGGTCGTTCAACAGCGTACGTCAGCTGTTTTGACCAATCGTATCGCAGAATCAGAAACGCGTCTGGATTGTAGACGTTATAAAAGTTACCGTAATCGGGGCTCTGGGCACGCTCGGCTTCATACAATTTTTGACACATGCTGCATCTATCCATATCTGTGGCAGTCAACTTGTCAAGTTGTCAATTTTCTTCATCAGCCGCAAAATTTGTAAACAAACGTTTATTTTTATTAGTTTTTACCCGTTTTTAATTAGTTTTTTAATTGATTTTCAGTTGTAGCGATTAAACTTTCATCGTTTAATGACTGTGCAAAATGTTACGTTTGTGTTTCTGTTGCGTGTTTTTCTTTATTTTTTTGCCGAATAATGTGAAGTTATTGGATAACGGGCTGGCTCGTACGCCTCCTATGGGGTGGATGTCTTGGGGGTATTATATGTGCGGAGATCATTGCGAGGAGCTGCCGGAAAAATGTTTGGAGTAAGAAAACATAACCTATTTTAAGAATGATCTTGTTTGTAAACAATCATTACCTCTCTTGCTGGCATTGACTAAACTTCCTTTTACTATTATTTGGGCAAAGAATTCTTTATAGTTAAAGCATTCGTCCGCTCGTTTCAGCCGAATGACGTCCACTGCTGGACAAAGGCCTCCCCAAGGATTTTCACAAAGACCGGTCCTGCGCCGCCCGCATCCAGGCACCTCCCGCGACCTTCACCAGACCGTCGGTCCACCTAGTGAGAGGCCTGCCCACACTACGTCGTGCTCCTAGTTAAAGCCTTATGCCAGGCCTGGCTCACTCCGCGCGGTACATCCGATAATTGGNTCAATTCGACCCGATAACACAGTGTGAACGTGTTAAGTATGTTTTTTTAATAAAAAAAAATCTTTGAACATCAAGTGCCTTTAAATAGTTTCCATCCTTTGACTACAACTTAATAAAAATAAGTACCATAACATAATTATTTTGAAGATTATTTGATATATGTAGACAAAAAATAATTTATACAAATCGAATTATTTAAAAAAGTATCACAATATTGAATATTTGGTGCTCATTTCTTTTATTTTTGAGGACCAACAAGTAACGATCAGATATAATTTTTACATCTCAAATTTTTTTTGCGTAGTTCAAAAGAGGTTAAAATATGGATCGATTTTATTTATTTTATGTCTCAAAGAAAGAGGATCAATCATTAAAATAGATGACCAAATAGATTTTTTTATTTGCCGTTTTTGCTAATTTAAAAAGATCATTTAAATACATGCCGTTTTTAATAAATGTAAATGCGTAGTTTTGCCAATACGTTTTGTTTCATAAAGCTAATAACAGGTAGGTACCTAGTTTTGAAGATATTTCTAAACGACAAAATCCAGTGCCGTCGTATACATAGACGTATACTGCGATCACTGACCTAACTTCTTGATTTGTATAATTTCGATGTTAAACAGTGCACTCTGTCTTCCGCGATCACTGATCTAACTTGTTTTATAAATTCTTCTACTGCTACTTTATTCTTATTAATTATTTATTACTTGTGCTGTTATTTACAATTCTCAATCCGTAAATAATTTCTTCTTTCTACCGTGTTCGTACTACTGTCCTCGTAAAATCATCGTAACCGATTATTGCAATCGGATTACATGAACATCACTCGACCATGTATGTCCATTTGGACATATCGGAATGACACGCTTTGAGGAGCAACTTGCTGTATCTACTCTAATCCATATCTGTGGTTCCAAAATACTGGACTGTCCTGTCGATGACATTGACAGTGGGGCGCCACACCGTCAATACCGGATCGCTGGTTCAGATTTTAGCCATGTTGGAAACCATATAGTTGAACGATGGTAGCGCCCCCCTGTCATTGAGTTTGGTGGGACAGTTCAGCGTGGTTCATCTATATGAAGCCGAGCGTGCCACTTTTTAAAGGCATGTATTTAAATGATCTTTTTAAATTAGCAAAAACGGCAAATAAAAAAATCTAAATGGTCATCTATTTTAATGATTGATCCTCTTTCTTTGAGACATAAAATAAATAAAATCGATCGATATTTTAGCCTCTTTTGAACTACGCAAAAATAATTTGAGATGTAAAAATTATATCTGATCGTTACTTGTTAGTCCTCAAAAATAAAAGAAATGAGCACCAAATATTCAATATTGTGATACTTTTTTAAATAATTCGATTTGTATAAATTATTTTTTGTCTATATCAAATAATCTTCAAAATAATTATGTTATGGTATAGCCTGACCAGGAACATAAAAACCCTGGCATAGAGGCGCATCAATTGCATTTGATAGTGCAACACTGAGTACAGTCGTACCTGTGTTAAATTAATAGGCTAACTTTATGTATCAGGATTCAGGATTACGGGCTAATTTGATATTTTCATAAATTATAAAAGGCAAACTTGATATAAAAATCATCAAATTAACAAAATTAAAGATCAATAACTAAAAAAGAGGATCAAATGTTATTTTTGTTTACCAAATATTAAAAGAGTATATTGAATATGAATATTATGTTACCTTTAATGAAGATCATTCATAATTTATCCCTAGATCAACTAATATAGACCCAATAATTAATATAAAGATAAAATATAATAAAAAACATCATTTATTTTTAAAAGTGCACATACAAAAAAGATCAATTAGTTTTTAGAGGATCAAATAATATTGTCCCCTTTTTAAACGTCATTAGTGTCATTTTAGCGAATTTTAGTGATTGCCGCAACGTAAAAATAATCGTATCATCGTACTGCATTCGCAAAGTCATCGAAAGATATCGTGTGACTCGATTCGACAATTAATTAATTCCGATAAAACTGATAATTTGTTAAATACAAAACCAAAAACATCTTTATTAGCTTTTTAAATAAATTAATTCTTACAAATCGTCAAATCTCATTATTTTTTTTACCCTACCAGCGTTTCAAGACAAAAATTGGTCAAGTGCATGAATACATACATGGATCAGTGTGTGTCTTATTGTTATAAAAGTAAGTACGGTTCCTTGTGATCGGTATGAGTGCACCACATACACGGACCATGGTTTTAACTCTTAAGAGTACAGGATATGTATTAAAAACAATGCTACTTTATACTTCTTCTACTGCTACTTTATTATAATTAATTATTTGTAACTTGTGCTGTTAATTACAATTCTGAATCCGTAAATATATTTTTCTTTCTACCGTGTTCGTACTACTGTCCTCGTAAAATCATCGTGTAATCGATTGTTGTAATCGGATTACATGAACATCACTCGACCATGTATGTCCATTTGGACATATCGGAATGGCACGCTTTGACGATCAACTTGCTGTATCTACTCTAATACATATCTGTGAAGACGAGCGTGCCACTTTTTTAACGTCATTAGTGTCATTTTAGCGAATTTTAGTGATTGCCGCAACGTAAAAATAATCGTATCATCGTACTGCAAACACAAAAGTCATCGAATGATATCGTGTGACTCGATTCGACAGTTAATTAATTCCGATAAAACTGATATTTTGTTAAATTTATAGCTATAGTTCCAAAATACTGAACTGTCCTATGCATGACATTGACAGGGGGGCGCCACCGTCAATACCGGATCGCTGGTTCCGATTTTTGCCATGTCGGAAACCATATAGTTGAACGATGGTAGCGCCCTCCTGTCATTGAGTTTGGTGGGACAGTTCAGCATGGGTCATCTATAGTCTGTTGGGTTGATTAAAATAATTTTGTAGCGGTAAACGTCATTCTATGTATATTTTTTATTTGTAAATATTTGTATAAATATTTAGTCTATGTAGGTTAATTATTTGTATTATTCTTAATCTCTTAATTCTATACTTTTAATAAACACGTCAAATTTTCAAATAATATTTTTACTGTGCTTAATGTTCAAAGTAATGATCGTTATTCCATTGTGTTAAATAGCACAGTAGCACTACTAGTAATTCATACCTACCTAATTTCATACTTTTTAATATCCTAGTACCTGACCTAGTTTTATAAAATAAAGACTAATCAAGCTTTTTATTTTAAATAAATGTAAAAATGCGTAGTTTTGCCAATACGTTTTCTTTCATAAAGCTAAGTCAGGTACCTACCTAGTTTTGAAGATAATATTTCTAAACGACAAAATCCAGTGCCGTCGTATCGTATACATAGCTGTATACCTACTGCGATCACTGATTTAGCTTCTTGATTTATTTGTAACTTGTGCTGTTAATGAGGNCATACGTGTCATGAGGTACGTACCTCATGGCATATAAGTAGATTAATTATTTTTTTCACTAGACAGCAACCCTAACAGCGTAAGAAGAGTTCAGAGGCACGCGATAGAAAGAGACAAAACTTGTAGGTGAATAAAATTGTAGGTACGTAGTGCTGTGCGAGCTGAATTCCACTGTATCGCGTCGCAGTAAGACTCGCATTTATTTAAATCGTCTTGCGGAGTAATCCTTCTGTACCTGTACTATTACTTATTCTGTGCTTATGCTACAATAATCCTATTTTACTTATCAAACTCCTTATTTAAATGTTATAAATTGAATGAATCTTTTCAAATTTCACAAATCTGTTATATCTATTGTGTTTCTAAAGAGGCTTATTAGAAATTATTTTCTTTTTCCATTATTGAATTTTATTTGGGATCGAGCCCTGTATATTAGAAATTCTTTGTAATCTGTAAACACATCACAAAAAGTACTTAATATCTATTTATCATGATGTACAGTATGTTTGGTTACCGATGTCAGACCTGTTAAGGTTGCGTTCTACTCATGAAACTGAACAACTTTTCCCAATAAACATTTGGTGAACTACAAAAAAAAATTTGGTATCCCATACAAAATGTATCAGCTAATATTTCATTTCTTATGGGACACACTGTATTTTCTAAATATAATAGAAAAATAATGCCTTGTATAAATTCTTTCCAGTGAAAAGCTAATACTATCCGTAGTAGATGCGTTCTACAACGAGGGTTACCAAGAAGCAGGTTTCGAGTACATCATCATCGACGACTGCTGGTCGGAGCGGAAACGTGATGAAAACGGTAGACTGGTCGCAGATAAGAAGCGGTTTCCACGGGGGATGAAATTTATCGCTGATTATGTTAGTATGATAATAATATCTTGTTTTACTCAATTATTTTTGGTTCGCACCAGTATTGTTTTTGTTCAAATAATTATTGAGAACACCTTACGCCTATTTGGACATAATATTTTATTAACATAATAGTCTAATGTCTGAGTGTTCAAAACTTTATTATAAATAAGCAAAACTTCCCATTCCCAAGTAAACAACAATACCTGTCTATACTCTAATATTCTAGGTATTAGTAGACTAATTTTGTTTTCTTTGAACTTACTTTTTTCCTTGTACAGATTTAAAATGTTTAAATAAGATATTTTATTTCATCCAAAATAGCATGGGCTCAGACTTTCTAAGAAAAGATTATATTTCACTGTGTATCATACAAAAAATAGGATAAGGAGTACCTATTAGCCATTTGTTCGTAGATCCAAGAAGAAACTGATCTGACACTTCAAAATTTCAATATTATATTGTTTTATACTTTCATGGTCACTAACATGGCTTGTGAATAAGGTACATGGCAGCAATCCCGTCAATAATAATAATTCGGACAGTTTTAATTCAATTACAACCTAGCGTAATAAAATCTTAACATTTCAGATACACGCACGCGGTCTAAAGTTCGGCATGTACACCAACATAGCTACTGTCACGTGCATGCAATACCCTGGTTCCTTCGGCCACTTCAGGACCGATGCCAAGACCTTTGCGGACTGGGGAGTCGATTACCTGAAGGTGGACGGATGCTTCGTTGGAGAAGATGTCCTGAATAATGGTATGTGGTAGCAGACTGGTTTGATGGTGGTGTTTGCCTATATTGAAATCNATTAATTACATTTATTACCTATCAGGGTTCGAAAATATCCTTATGATATATATCCGATATATATCGGATATATATCTGATATTATGATATATATCCGATATATATCGGATATATATCATAAATATCGGATATATATCGGATATTTTCGAACCTAGGGTTCGAAAATATCCTTATGATATATATCAGATATATATCTTATAAATATCATAAAAATCTGATATTTATGATATATATCCGATATATATCGGATATATATCATAAATATCGGATATTTTCGAACCCTGTTACCTATACGAGAAAGTAAAGCAACATGCGGTTTTATTTTAATTTGTAAAATATTTGTAACAGTTTGTTCCAAGTTTAGTTTTACAACAGTATTGCTGTTTCAGCTGTCACTGTGAAGCTTTGGGAAAATAAATAAATAGAAAAAATATTAACATACATATTTATTTAAGTTTTTATGTTCATTATCATAATATGCCAATTTAAGTTACACTGTTTGACAGTCTTTGACACTAAACAAACTCTTCAGCTTAATAATACCTACCTACAGGGCGTTTTTATAGTTACTCTTGCTGATGAAACAAGAAGGGTTGATTCTACTACTGAAATACAACTACTTTTCTTACAGGACCAATATCAAATTCTCAAAAAAATTCACATCCTCNATCGGATATTTTCGAACCCTGATTGAAATGCAAAAACAACAGTGATGTTAAATTCAGTTTGTCACTCGTAAACAATAATGTCTACGTATCATGTATTTTTTTTTATTGATAATGATATTTTGTTTCTTATTTTAGTTTTTACCTGATTTCGCCAGAAAGAGGGTTATGTTTTTTGTAATATAATTTAGATGTGTGTTTTTAATGTTTTTTTTTTATCTAAGTTAGTAGTATAGCTTTAGGAAAAATATTGTAAAGGACTTAGGCCCGCCATACACGGACAGCTCGAGCAGTTAGTCAGTGATCAACATACACGGACCGCTCTTGTAGTCAAGAGTCAACAGCTCGAAGCTGCCAGTGATAACTGCTCGAGCAGTTGGTATTAAATGCTCAACAAATTACGCGCGCGCCGTGGAATGAAGAAAGTGGGTGGAGGTAACTACGCGAGAGCTGTCGACAGCTCGAGCAGTCAGTGTATGGCTGGGACTGCTTGACCGCACGATGAAAATTCACCGTGCTGTCGACCGCCCGAATCAGTTACAACTGCTCGAGCGGTTCGTGTATGTGCGTCCATAGAACTCTGCAGTTCACTGTGCAGTCGCAGCTTGAAGGCCTTGCCTTAGCTTGGCAACATTTTATTCATTCATTTGTTTTTAACAGCGTATATCAAGCTTGGCAGCCAATTGAACGACACAGGCAGACCGATGGTGTATTCCTGTAGTTGGCCATACTATATCCAGTATATTCACTCCAAAGTTGTAAGTATTTCTAATTTTTAAGGACCCTTGGTCACCATCTCCGAGTGTCAAGTAGCAATTTATCGAATTTCTTACTTCTTATTTTACTTGCTAAGTAGTGGTAATCAGGAAATAACTAATTGGAACTTTACTCGGAGATGGTGAAAGAAGCCCTTATCAAATTTTAGTAACACACCGTTATTATTGCTAGCTAATTTTTGATTGTATGTTAATAAAATGGTAAATGTTAAATGAGGCTATTTCAAAACCTGTATCTTAGGTATTTTTAGAGATATTATTAAAAGCACTAGACGATTTTATAATGCCAAGGTTAAAGTGCGAGATATGAAGAAACGAATATCTGTGTGCTTAGTGATTAGTGCGAGTTTACATTAAACGTCATCCTACAGAGTAGAGACTGCGTAAAAATAGCATGATAGAATGCCAGATACTTTTAAGGACTTCATAGATTCTTCATAGATTTTTTGACGCGCTCGCTAGCGGTAGCCCTAATAAGCTCAAAGTTGCACAGCGTTCTATGAAGAGAATAGTTCTACGCTCAATGTTGCTTTACAAGATCGAATCAGAAATGAGGAGATCCGTAAACGAACTAAAGTTGCTGACATAGCCCGACGGATTAGCAAGAAGTGGCAATGGGCAGGGCACATAGTACGCAGAACTGACGGCCGATGGGGCAGCAAGGTTCTGGAATGGAGGCCGCGTACCGGAAAACGCAGCGTGGGACGTCCACCCACAAGGTGGACCGACGACCACATAAAGGTTGCAGAAAAGCGCTGGATGCAGGCCGCTACCAACCGGGCGATATGGAAATCATTGGGGGAGGTCTATGTTCAGCAGTGGACGTCCTGTAGCTGAAATTATGATGACTAACATTTTCAAAGTATCGCTGTTGGTTTCTATAAATCTATATCTATTATATAAAAGAAAGTCGTGTTAGTTACTCCACTTATAAGTCAAGAACGGCTGAACCGATTTAGCTGAAAATTGGCAGGGAGGTAGTTTAGAGCCAGGAGAAGGACATAGGATACTTTTTATCCCGTTCCCTTTTTTTCTGTCCCGCTTATTTATTGCCATTAAGGCGGAACAAAGTTCGCCGGGTCAGCTAGTAAATAATGAAAATTAATTCCTTTTCCAGCCAGACTTCGAAGCGATATCCCAGCATTGCAACATGTGGCGTAATTACCACGACGTGCAGCTGTACTGGCCGGCTCTGAAGATGATCTTCAAGCACTTCGAGGACGAATACGAAGAGCTGAGCCGACACCACGGGCCGGGGAAATGGAACGACCCGGATATGGTAAGATTGTGGTAAAGCCTGGTCCGTGAGCACGTAGAATTTTGTCCAATGACCCCAAGCTACCCATCCTTATCGCTCGCGCGTAATTATGTTGCTATCGCGCTCGCACACTCACTGCGGGCGCCCGTCGCACAGTCGCGACAGTAATATAATTACGCGCGAGCGATAAGGATGGGTAGCTTGGGGTCATTGGACAAAATTCTACGCGCTCACAGACCAGGCTTTAGCTAGCCGAACGGACTTAGAACAAGCCCTACCACTAGCAAAACCGAACAGAAATCTGCCCCCATTGGGAAGACAAATTCGAAGTGCTGAGCTGTGCTGTGCTGAGAAATGGAACGGTCCTGGATATGGTAAGGTTCATTATCACCATCATTTCAGCCACAGGACGTCCACTGCTGAACATAGGCCTCCCACAATGGTTCGTTCGTTTCAGCCAAATGATGTCCACTGCTGGACAAAGGCCTCCCCTAAGGATTTCCACAATGACCGGTTCTGTGCTGCCCGAATCCAGGCACTTCCCGCGACCTTCACCAGATCGTCGGTACACCTAGTGGGGGCCTGCCCATTCTACGTTATGGTATTTATTTTCCTCAATGAGGAAACTATGCATCTCACTTTCACCCGGAATACTCAATTTCACACAGCTTCACCCGGAATACTCAACCATAGTGAAACTGGCAATGCCAATGAACACAATGCTGTTGACATTGTGCTTATGGCGACAGACTTGGTAATATGGTGGTAGCTATCCAGGCGGACTTAGAACAAGTCCTATCCAAACAGAACAGAAAAAAATGTCCCCACTAGGAATGGAACCCAGAACCTCTGGGTCTGAAGCAGGTGGTCTTACCACTAGACTACAGAGGCGGTAAGATAAAGAAAAAAATGTATATCCCGATACTCTGTAGTATGCTAAACCTAATCAACAATCTACTAAACAAACCGATTAGGTTTCTGTGGTATAGGATAGGAGTGCGGGATGGGTGTCATGACATAACAAACCTGTCACGGTCATTCGCTGTACTAGTGTTTAAAAAGTTTGTATGGACAGTTGATGACAGTAAAAAGAACGTTACATACTCATACTTTTCAGCTAATATTCGGCACAGACACACTAACAGAGAGTCAAAGCCGGGTGCAGATAGCAGTATACGTGATGCTCTCCGCTCCTTTATTGCTCAGCTGTGATATGACCAAAATAACGGCATACGAGAAGAAACTGCTCCAGAATCTCGACCTTATGGCGGTGGGACAAGACCCATTGGGCGTAATGGCTAGGCCGCATAAGGTGAGTTGATACTTTTCAAATTATTTAGTTGTTTTTTTTTGTTATTAATGAACAGAAACTTAAGGGTTAAATATCGTCAAAGTGAATATGTTTAGTCAATTGAAAATTTGATATCTAATAAAAATGTGTCTTTTAATTTGTAAAAAATTGTTTAAGTGTTAGATAGTCACAATTGGCCTACGAATTCTTACAAAAACCGTCATTATTGTGACCTTAAATGATACTATTCGTAAATGAATAATTGTAATTTTTTGAGACCGAGGAAAAAACATAGTGTAGTTTTTATCTCAGTTTTGAAAAAGACGCGGGCAAAAGCCATTCTTTTAATTATGTTACCAACCTTCCTTTAGCTGTCGCTTATTACAATTTGTGTAGTTTTTAAATTAAAAATCCTTTAGTAGCTTTTTGTTTTGTTATACCTTATTTATTCTAAGAGCTCTGGGTTTTGAACAAAATTGTAATAATTAATTTCAGCTACAAGAAAGCGTGACTTTATGGGTAAAGCGCCATCTACCGATGAAAGGAAACAAGTTCCATAGCTACTCATTCGCTATAGTCAATGTGGATAGTCAACCTCATTTGATTTATTTCTTCCCCAAGATATATGGCACGGATTCTAAAGATGGTTATACAGTGATGGTAAGTCTTTAGGTACATAGTTTTTAATTTGCTGCTTGAATCAATTTTAATAGCTTTTGAGTCTGTGAGCTGAGGGCTTAGTGTGAGTTTACATCTAACGTAACTAGCGAGCGCGTAAAAAATATATGAAGATTTTAGTTCTTGAAAGTTTCCGCTAGGGGCGCTGTACAAACCGTCATACATTTAATGTCACTTTTTTACGCAGTCGTAATCGAATGCGTTTGACGTAAACTCACACTACGCCCCCTGGTGACCATAAAGATTTGATAATTATAATCTATGGATGGATATAATTTTTGTATTATTATCCCATTTTCTCCCATAAACTTCGAATTTTTGACGAATTCCAACATCTAATTAGGTACTACATGTGATAATCATTGGAAAGAAGAGAAGATAGAGATGTTTTTAAAATCATTGGCAATCCACTATCACCTTTAATTTTTTTTTTATCGAATTCAAAGTTGATTTTTTTATCGTGGTTTGTATTTTTATTAAACTTTGGCGGCTCGTAACTAGCTATCCAATCATAATCTGGATCTGAAATTTATTTTATTTGACTTCAGACATATTAGATATTAATATCAAATAATAAAAGCGGTTTAAAACACGCGAGAAAAAAAAATTAAGCAGTTTTTAGGTCAAATTTTGGAAAAAATTAAACAAAATCAAAAATATCAATTTAAAAAAAAGTAGCTCACTTAGGGTCGAATGGACGAACTTATATTCTTAAAATGACCTTACTTATACACCCACGAAGTTTGTCTAACCTTCCGCCAAACACCCTGTATAAAAAAGCCCAGCAAGCGAATGGTCTTTGATTCTATTCCCATTTAAGCCATTTTCTCTTAGTTTGAAATAAGTTCTCAAACGAAATCTTCGAAATGAAAATTTTGTTTGTTCCAGGATATATTTTCAAGGGATTTCATAAAGAACGTAACTTTTCACGAGCCAATTGAAGTCACAGTGCCACCTGATGGTAAGATTTTTTTCTTTAAAATAGGTCATGGAATGTTGTTTTTTTTTACATAATTTATGACTTTTGTCTTTAAAATTTCTGATTAAAAATATTTTTGTTTCAGATGTGATTATGTACACATTTTTCCCACTGTAAGATTTTTTAAACGAGTATTATTTATAAATAGTCAAATTAAACTGCCTGTTTCCCTTGATGATAAATGCCTTTATAGCTTAACTGGAACTTATCTGTCAGATAAAGTTTTACGTTTGATCTCATGTGCCTTGGATAGAGATATCTGGAAGATAAATACCTTTATTGGTTAGGTAACGTTATATGTCAGTTAATTATCTGAAACAATATCAAGTTTATAAAATTGGCCTATATTTCTGTCCGTCCGTCTTACCTAACTTGAAGCGATTTATTTCTACAAAAGTTTTGGAACTTTAGATCTATAACATAAGATTCAAAATCTATAGATAATCTTGTTTTGTTTAGTACACCCGTACTTAATAAAAGATCTTATTTTTAATGTAAATAGTGCATATTTTGCACGATATTGCTCACAATACTTGTGATATTAGATAAGTATTTATTGAAAATCGTTTAATAAACTTTTAACTGAATCTTTTTGTATTATTTGAGTTTATCCCGTCCAGAGGATATCTCACAGCCTGCAAATTACCTTATTTTATGCATGTAATTACTAAATATAGTTCAAGCAATAGGTACTATCGGGGACTCTTCCGCCTGACCACTTTGTAGAAATTTTAGCGTAAGCGCATCGCTCCGGTCACGTGGTCACCCCGTCTCTAATTGGTTACGCATTTTACTATATTTTTACTACGACCAATAAGAGACAATCAGGGCTTAGGTTGCAATACGAAATACCATTGTGCACTTTATTGTCACACGGTTAAGGTTTAAAACGAAATGTTTCTTTTTCTTCAATCTTTCTTAGTTTTAGGCTGAGTTGCACCACCTAACTTTGACCGTAACTATAACGGTAACCGGTGCTTTTTATATGGAGTTTGACAGAATTTTGACGTTTGTTAAAGTTAAAGTAAGATGGTGCAACTCAGCCTTAGAATTTTAATAATATAATTTGGTTACAAACAAATAGATATGTATTTTTTTTAATATTGTGTTTTTATACGAGGTCTGTCTGCTTTTTGCTTTGGCGATCTGTCGACATATTCTCTCCTTTGTTTTTTTGTGAAGTTTCGTGATCAATAACCGATTGATTTGTGTTGACCCGTGCTAGTAATTGGACTGTTTGATTGCCTTTTTATTGACCTCCGCTCGATTACTGAACCATGCCTCTCAAAATAATTCTTATATTTACTTACAAACTTATCTATGCGGCAGCGGGCAACGAGCGGGCAGCGGCGAGGGAGCGGGCAACGAGCGGGCAGAGCGCACTCCTTCTTTTGCCCACAATAAATCGAGCGTTAGGAATAAATTTGAATCGAAATAAAATTGTTTTGCGAATTCGTTTGCGAATAAAAACAAATATCTCGACAACACAACCCCGAACACAACACTTCGCCGCTAAAGCGCCGCGCGAGTTGCCCGCTTGTTTCGAGAACGGGTCTGCGTTGCCCGCCCCGCTCCAGCGCCGCCGCCGCTCCCGCCCCGCTGCCCGCTAAGTTCGAGGCTGAGGCCTTAAGGTGTCAAGGCGTTCGAGTCCCTGATAGTACCTCTATATTCTTGCCGTCGGAATGATATGAAACCTGGCTAAGATTTTAAGTTGGATCCTAAGTTATTAAACTGTAAAAACCCTATAAAAATCTGTTCAGTAGGCCTAAGATGCGCGCCGTGATAACTTTTGTCGACGTCAAAATGTGTGGGCAAAATCGATAAAATGCCGTGATAACCGCTTATCGCTGTGAAGGTCGCGGGAAGTGCCTGGATGCGAGCGGCACAGGACCGGTCTTTGTGGAAATCCTTGGGGGAGGCCTTTGTCCAGCAGTGGACGTCTTTCGGCTGAAACGAACGAACAGTCACAGTCAAATAGATTGTGACGCCTAAAGTAGCCAAAAAGTTCGCAACGCGTCTTTGTTACAATTTGAATAAGGTTGTGTTGTCATCTTTTGGGCCACTTTGGGTGTCACGATCACGAACTATATGAAGCTGACTGGACTCCAATGTTGGGCTTTGGGACGATAAAATAAGTAGATTGACTGCGTATTAAGAGCTCATTTATTAAGAGTGCATAACCTTATATACCACCTATGGGACGTGAGTGTGTGCGTGCGTCGTGACGCGCATAAACATAAAAATGCGTCATGTTTACCTGACACACACAGATAATATAGATATGTTTACTCCTTCTGGTTGGTACCAGTAATCTAACTGCTTTCTTTTAATATCTTCATTTTTTTGTATTATGGTAGGTATTCGTATTATAGCTACGTAATTAATTTTAATACAATAAAAAAACCTCAAAATACCTCATTGAAGCTCCGCGTTCCCGAAGGGCGATTACCTAAAGTTTTCCCCTATCCCTTTTCGCCCTCTCAAATGCCCTTCAGGTATTCCAACAAAAAATAAGGGCCTTATTCGTACGTACTTCGGATTCCACTGCGAAAATAAATTGCGATCGACATTCTAAAATTGATTTTTTGAGACGGAAATTATACCCTATACAAAGCACCACAATAATTTCACTTTGCGATTAACGAGAGGTTTTGTCGCATCACTAGTACATAGACTAAAAATACGTCAATGTCAGTTGGCCATATTTGTTTACATTTTTGGTGATTTCTAAAGAATTTAACCGCCTG